ACTGCCGATGTCATGCTGCAGCTCAGTACGAGGAGATAAGACAGCTGGTTGGCCACCATGCTGATCCCTTTGGCCGGCACCTTGGACTCGCAGACTTCTGGAGCAGCACCTCCGACATGGACATTAAGACCAATCTGCGACCTGCTATCCGGATCAGACCTCATCATCAGATCGTGTACCGGACGCAACCTGCTACTGGGACAATCAAGCTGAAGCCCTCGCCGTCTACATCACAGAACCGCTGAAGACTGCTTCCTCACCGCCACTTCTGCGACACCCTCCAAGATCCTCCTCAAGACATGTTTTTGCTTTTGACACCCTGTTACAAGACTGAGACGTTGTTTTCCCAGACCCCTCAGACACCCCAACACTTCAGCATTGAACAAACAATTTTATTTTATTTATTTTTCTCAAACCTGACAACCTATAACCTTGTAGAACAGCAGTGGGACTACCCTGTTACTTGTAGAACCTCAATAGGATGACCATATGACCCGAACATTGCTACTCTCACCCTTGTAGAACCTCAATAGGATTACCCTGTTACTTGAGCATTGATTCCCTCATCCCCGTAGAACCTCAATAGGATTACCCTGCTACTTGCATTACTCCCCTTTTCCTTTTCTGACCAGTGATCGGCCCCGTCCTGTCCTTCACAGTTGTTAATTGGGTCTTTGGCAGCCAGGACGTTGCCTTCCAGAGGGAGGGGATAGTGTTACGGACCCAGCCAGGGCTCGATCCCTGGTCCGCGGGTTACCACCGGCCAGGCTGCTATTTCAATTTTTTTTTTGAGTCTCTGTTCTCCGGTGCCTGACTGTTGGCGCCCTCTGCATCTGGCGTCCATTCTCAAATCCCGCCTCTGGCACTTTCAAATTTCGATACTTGGCGCCATCCGACATTCTGGTGCCCAGGCTCAGACCTTCGATTTTCAGTTTAGCCCTGAGGCAAATTGCACTTCTGCCCTCCGAGCTCAACTTGAGTCCCGTACTTAAGACCGGACTCAAGCTGAGTTCGAGGGATTCAGTTTTCCGCGTCAGTGCTTGTGCCTCAGTGTGACTTGCTGCGACATTGTGTTCGGAATCCAAGATTGCGAATTTGAGACTTTGCGACTTCACCACTTTGTGTCTGCGTCCATCGAGTCGTGTCGAGTCCGTGTCGAGTTGAGTGAGTGTGCGTGTGTGCTCTCACTCCCTCCCTCTCTCTTCCCCGACGTTGTTGCTCTGCCTCAGCCCCGTCACATTGAAGGTAACACAACTATGGACAACTCTTCAACAAGAGGCGATCGATCGCATTTAAATCCTGTAGGACAAAGGATGGAACTCTCCAGTCCTTTGGCCGAACGGAAGGAAGAATGAGCGTGTCTCTTTAGGGACATTACCCTTTTGACGAACCTGTAGGACAAAGGAATGGAACTCCACAGTCCCCGGGAAAAGGAACCGGACTGACGTACTGGAACTCCCCAGGCCCAGGGAAAAGGAACCAGACTGACATAATGGAACTCCCCAGGCCCAGGGAAAAGGAACCGGACTGACGTAGTGGAACTCCCCAGTCCCAGGGAAAAGAAACCGGACTGACGTAATGGAACTCCCCAGTCCCAGGGAAAAGGAACCGGACTGACGTCATGGAACTCCCCAGTCCCAGGGAAAAGGAACTGGACTGATGGAATGGAACTCCCCCAGGCCCAGGGAAAAGGAACCAGGCTGATGTTCCCCAGAAAGGATAAGGAGCCAGGACCATAAGGGCCTGTTTATTACTTTTGAAAAAAAGAAAGAGAAAAGAGGAACGGAACTCTCCCCCATGATGGAGACTGCAAACAAGCTTCTGCATGGCTGCT